TATATATATATATACAGTATATATATATATATATATATACCTACATACTGTATACAGTATATACAGTATGTATATATACAGTATGTAGGTATGTATATATACTTATATCTGTATATATACACATATATGCTATATGTGTGCATATATATATATATTTATATATACATTTATACATATATACAGCATCAGCTAAAGGTACACAGTGATAAAATTAGCCTCCCTGTCGAGGAATTAAAACTTAGTCCCCGGCGTGTCAAGTGGGATACTCTATATCCCACTATACGCACTATACTAAATATAGATACTAAACTTTATAGTAATACATCAAAATAAAAATGATTTACACATAAAATAGAATTGCCATAATAAAATCTGAACCTGAATATAGATACTAAACTTTATAGTAATAAATAAAAATAAAAATAACTGAATTGTATGGAATTAGTATGGCCATAGTACAGACTGTATATCAATGTCAATAAATGTATTTATAATAAATACATAAATCAATGTTTATGCTATTTTCACTATTCCCTCCAGGGATGGAATCCCCTTCTGTGAGATGGACTACCACGCCATGTTCGGAATCCAGTGTGAGAGCTGCAAGAAATACATCACTGGAAAGGTTCTGGAGGTAAGGACAATGCACAAAGAAATATACCAAATATATTTCACTAATATGCTAAATATACAGGACATTTCAAAGAAAACATGGTTTAAACATAGGGTGCAAGAAAATGTAAACAAACACATACACAAACACACTGAGTAGTCTAAACGGAATTGGCAGAGGCTGCACATTTCCACTAAATAGGATTTTGCCAAAAATACCAGGAAAACAGAGAGCAATGCAACAAATGCTGCATATCTGTGGAGAGGAACTATATCCGTCTAGTTCTTATTCTCTTTTTACTAGCCTTGAGTTCTGACCCATTTTTATTCCAGAGCCGTCATGAAATTTTCATCACCACTTACTCTATATGCTGCACATGTAGCTGCATTAAAAACGCTTTTAAAGCTGCTGCAAGTGCAGATCTGAGACCAGCTCTTATAAATGTGTAACAGGAGGGTTTCGGGCACTGATGTCATCAGAAACAACATTTCCCCCCATGAGCGTAACTTTAAAGCACAAGACGGCTCCCAGAGACTGATGGAGCGAGCCATGTTGAGGCCACGCACCAGTTCCTCTGTGGTATGCAGTATGTGTGGCTCCAAGGGGCAGTAGCAGTTTGTGGTCATTCAACACAGTCTCTCTTTCACCCTCACCCTGACCTCACTCTATCCTTCTTACACAGCCATACTCTACCTCTCTCTCCTTCCGCTCCGTGCCTCAGGCGGGCAGTGACTCTCAGGTGGCGCTCTGCCGCCGCAGTCCTGTAGGTGCCTTTAAACAAAACCACCCGGAAATTCCGGGACACATTACACCTCTCGTTCCTATAAAATGTCATCTCTGTTCAAGGCTTAAGTGTAAAAGAAGTGGATTTAAAGAGTGAGAGAAAACAGAAGCACCACCCGGAGCGTTCTGCTGTCATGACATCATACAGTACATGTGTTAGGTGCGTGCGTGACCTCATTTACTTTTGCTCCTTTGAGCGAAGGTGTTGAAGAATGGCGGGTTTAATTCCAGGTTTGACATCGTTTTAGTGTTTACAACCCAAAAAAGGCCGGTGGTACGAGGCATTTTTTGCAGCGATAATGGGCAGTTGTTAGTGTGAGCAAAACGTAGTTACACGAACGCATATGAAACAAACAATATATAAAACAATAATATAAAATATATATAAACACTATATTATACTACACTAAAATAGTTGAGTTTTCAAATATTTCATAAACAAAAATGTTAATTTGTGGTGGCTACGTCTCTGTATGTAACTAGTGAGAAGGTTCGAGACCTGGTAGGCGATATGCATATGAAGCCACAACAAAACCAATAGCATGTGTTGAGGAGTACATCCTGGACATGTTTCTATCTATCTATCTATCTATCTATCTATCTATCTATCTATCTATCTATCTATCTATCTATCTATCTATCTATCTATCTATCTATCTATCTATCTAT